TAATTCTAGGAGTGCTGGCAGCCACAGGCAGCCCAGGGTTCCTATGATCCTACAGAAGGTAGAACAGTGCGGGTGGCGAGGCAATCAGGTATTTAGAGATGTGCTGAGCCACTGGATCAGCTTTACCTGGAGCCAGCACTACCTGTGGACTTTACAGTTACATGAGCCAGTAAATCTTTCCTTTAAACCAGTCTGAGTTAGGTTTTCTATTATTTAAAACCAAAAGATTCCTAGCTTATACATTCATCATATTACTCCACCCCTATCGTTCCCACAGGATAACACATGGATCAGATCTACTAGCGACTCTAAAGCCAAGGGTATTGAGCTGAAAAGGTCAGAGGCAGGAAGCAGGCACTGTGTAAGACGGGGTGCCTCCGCTGTCTATACAGAAGAGCATGAATTCCCTTTGGAAAAGAAGAGCCAGAGAAGCAAGTCAGAAGGGCTTTACAAGGCAGACAGGCAGAGTTCACATCTGGTTTAAACACTCTTCTCTCCGTATTTATCGGGGGGCGTTGCTTTGGGGTCTTTCTGCTCATGGGATGAGGAACCTGGAAGCATATGCCCCTTTAAATCTTTATTACCCTGTGCTACAGTATCCACCTCTCCCTTCCCCAAATGAAGAGCCTCCTTATGGCTTCTGCTGGCCCTGATGACACTCACTTTTGGACTGACAAGAGGAATTTTATCTTCCCCTCCTTTGGCATGGCGGGAACTGGAACTGGGACCCCTTCCTCCTTTAGAAACAGCACCATCTTCCTGACCCTGGGCAAGCACCGTCCCCTTCTCAGCCTTGCCCATTGGCCCTGGCCTCTCTGACCCTCCAGCTGAGATGCTTTCCTCTCTAGTAGCCCACGTCTCCCGGGGTAACCTTGAGGACTGGGCAGAGGCTGTGGCAGCTGCTGACTTATCAGGGGCAGAATTCCTTTCCCTACTTCCACCTGATTTTTTTCGAGGGCGCCCCCGTTTTCTTTTGGCATCACTTCCTGTATCCTCTATATCCTGCTTTGCAGCTTTTGCTGGTGGGTCCTGCCCGTTGGTCTCACTCATAGTTCCTTCGGCTGTCCTCTTGACACCCTTGTCATGAGGTCCTGGGTCACCACCTCTGCCGACCTCCCTATTCTCTGTGCCCAGGGGCTGAGTGAGCCCCCCAGGTGGAGCTTGCCCAGGCCCAGGTCCAGGTCCAGGTCCCGGTCCAGGTCCAGGCAAAGCAGGAACAGTTGGTAAGATCATATTAATGATGGGCACAGCTGCCTGGGTTCCCCTAACTCTACTGGACACAGGCAGCGCAGTCAATTTCAGAGTGCCTGAAGAAAGCCTGGGGGCCACAATGGGTGGAGAGACGGCGATTTGCTGAATAACTGGGCGAGGGGCCCGGGGGAGGAGCAGAGGCAGCCGGGCCATCAGGGCATTAACCTGTGGGTTATTGGCTGCTGGGGCCGGACTCTCTACTACAGTCTTCTTCCGTTCTCCGTGTGCTGAGGGACCAGCCCCAGCTCGGGGTTCCAGCTCCTGAGGAGGCTAAGAAGTAAAGAGAGGAACACGGTAAATGGGAAGCCGGGACACTGGAAGAAACGGGCACAGGAGGTGACAGTATGGGACCCACGGAGGAAGGGTACATTAAGCCTGAAGGACAGGGCAGCAAGGTCAGGGGCTCCAAACTCCTACCTGGGTCAGTCTCTCTGGTTTCTTTTGGGCTCCACCCTCTAGGTTCTCTACACCATTCTTAGATTTAGATGTCCGTTCCCGGGGGACATGTTCATCCTCTTCTGCAGAAGTGCCAGAAAAAGGAGTAAGTTCAGGAGGTAACAGAAATGGAGGAGTGCGGCAATTCTGACTGGTGGAGGTAGTGGAAAGAAGGTGGTCTAAGGCATGTCCTAGAAGGGTCTCTAGGAATAGAAGGCAAATTCAAGGTGTCTCTATCCTAGTACATGGGAGGGCTTTTGAAGTTGAAAGTGGCTGAGGGTTTCTCAGGACAGAAGACAGGGTCCACCCACCGGCAAGCCCCATGGCCTTGAGCACATGGGCATGTGCAGATCGGGCAGAGATGAGATGATGCTGTAGCAGGAAGCGGGCGACCTCAACGATGGAACTGAAGGACCGTTTCAGGATTCGCTCCGCCCAGTCACAGGTCAGGGCACAGGCTGCCTCAACCAGTTCATCCCGAGGTGCTGGCGTTACTTCTGGGCCCATTTCTGGCTGCAGTGGGGAAGGACATGCCTCATAATACTCCAAACTCAAGGACCCTTGGACCCTCTTGAACATCCACGTTGACCATAGTAAGACCAAACTGGGAATGGGGTTAGCCTGTACCGTCCCGTCCCAGAAACCCACATATGCTCTTCATCCTCTGCCTCAGCCATAGGGTGGGCAGAGGGGCACACCCTATATACTCAGAAGCTATGTGCAGAATCACCTAGGCTGTGTCAGTCTTCAAAACATGTCCCAAAGACCTCTGACTTCTACCTTGGAGAGAAGAGTGCAATCAGGGTTGTTACTTACACTCTCAGAGCCCTTTAGGTCAAGGCCAGGCAAGGGTGGCATAGATACCAAGGTCTTTCTTCGTATGCCACTGTAGCAGTATCTGATGTAAGTTAAGGAGAAACCAACATCTGGGGATCACCAAGCCCCTTAGCAAGGTTGGGCTGTTTCTACTCCGGGCTCCATATCCATAGGTTCTCCTCCCCAGGTCCTCTGGCCCCAAGCTCTCCAGTCAAGGATACTTGGACTGACCCCGGCCACCAAGCCTTCGGGCCTTGATGTCAGGGAAGATCTCTCTGATGATTTTGCCAAAGTTGGCTGTGCTGAGTGGGCGGCAACAAGCGAGGCTCTCACAGTACTTCCTGAGTGAGGGGTGGGGGCAGAGTGGGAAGATACTCAGAGAAGGAGGTCATGGGTGGGTTCAGAGGGTCCCTGGGGATGAAGTTTGGGAAAGCTTTTTAAGAAGTCAGGCTCTTCCAAGGCAGGGAGCTCTCCAGAGACAACCCACCCTTCCACTCCCCCTATCCACCCACCGATAGGCATCATAAACGCTTTGCTTTGGTAGACAGGTGTCAGTATGCTCTTCCAGGTGGTTTCGGATCCACTTGCAGGCATACATGTACTCCTCATTGTTAGGTGTGCTTGGCTCTGAGCTGCAAAAGAGTTAAAAAGAAAACCGTTACTAAATTCCCAACAGTTGTCCTGGTTCTATCCAGACTACCCCTTCGGTAGTGCTGGACCAAGTCACTTCACTCCGAATCTACTTTTGGTAAAACAGTGCAGGACAGGGACGTTTCTTCTTGGTCAAGGACAGCCATCATGAGTATTCCTATTCACCGCACCCTTTCCCAGGGAGCCTTTAAGAATCAGAACCTCTGACATCTAAAAGCCTAGCACCAAACATACCTTTTGTCTCCAGTACTGGGCCCTGAGGGGAGCTGAAGGTACAGATACAGCTTGTCATTGTCTGAAAATTTCTGTACATCTTGCTGAGGGAAGGAAGAACAGAGGCAAGAGAAATAATAAGGCCAAGAAGAATCCAAGGTAGGACCCTCCGATCCTCACCAAAAAGTCTAGCTGACTTAGAGGCTGTCAGACTGAAAAAAAGTCCTGAGAATGATTTAAGGCTGGGTGCCCGCTGTGCTCTGAGGAACCCGTATGGGTCACCACGGTGACAGGGGGAGCAGAGGGGATCGACTGATTTCATTTCTATTGGGCTTCCATACAACAGGTCAGAGAGAGATGAAGTCAGGTGCTCAAGGTCGAATTGGCAGTAAGTTGCAAAGACAATTATCTCCCCACAGGGTAGACATCACTGTCTCTCCCACAAACACCTTTACCTTACTCATGTCCTCACCAACCTCATCCCCCACCAATTCAATCTCTCTATTGCCCTTTCCCCCCAAAATACTTACCAAGATTCCCTCTACTTTGTTCTGCACGGCCTTCCTGTGGAGAAGAGGAAGAAGGGGGGGGGGGTCAGACGAGATGTCCCCCCATCCCGTGTCTGACTGCTAGGGAGGGGAAGAGGACGCCAAGGTCTGGCAGCAAGGTCGAATTGGCAGTAAGTTGCAAAGACAATTATCTCCCCACAGGGTAGACATCACTGTCTCTCCCACAAACACCTTTACCTTACTCATGTCCTCACCAACCTCATCCCCCACCAACTCAATCTCTCTATTGCCCTTTCCCCCCCAAAATACTTACCAAGATTCCCTCTACTTTGTTCTGCACGGCCTTCCTGTGGAGAAGAGGAAGAAGGGGGGGGGGTCAGACGAGATGTCCCCCCATCCCGTGTCTGACTGCTAGGGAGGGGAAGAGGACGCCAAGGTCTGGCAGGTGCTCAAGCCAAGAAGCTCCCCCTGGTCAGATGCACTTGCTCAGGGAGAGGCAGTTCATCTGCAGCGGAAGCGGGGTGCTCCGGGGATCTATACTGGGGAGCAATGCAAGATCTGGAGGTGGCCACGAGCACTTACGAGATGTTACCCCGGAGCTTCTGCAGAAGCGTGGTGGGCTCCCCCGCCTCGGCACCGGCACCGCCTGAGGGGGCCCGGCCCGCGGGCTTCGGGCTCTTGTTGTCGGGTTCGTCTTCGGCCATCCTGGCATGAGGGCGGGAGCTGGCCGGAGACAGGCGAGTCAACGTCTCTTCCCTGGAGACACCCCGCTCCCCCATCCTCATCTCTCTACCCAGAAAGAGAAGCAGAGAGCAAGCCTCCGAATTTCTCCAGTGTTTTTGTTTTTTCTTTCTCACCACTTGCCTTCTCCAAAAATTAGAAATTACTCCATTACTTCTCCAGGCCTATAGATATATAGATATACCCCAAAAGACCTTTGCCATCTCCACCCTACCTGCCCCATCTCCTTGCAGCCGCCCATATGTGGAAAAACCGTAAAGGAAGAGACAGGAGGCTCGGGAATCCACGCGAGGAAGAAATTGTCATTTCTGACTCTGACCTCATGCTGCCCTTTTCTCCCTCAAAAACAACCTCCGCCAAATGAAGTTAGATCTAATTCTCTACTAGACGCCCGGGAGGTCGGAAAGGAAAGAACGCATTCTGCCCTTCCAGGCTGGGGGGAGGGGGGACCGGGCCCAAGTTCTCATCACTTCCCCCCGTCGCCGCTCCCCCTCCCCAAGCCGCCAGCCCCTGCGTCATCTCCCTCTGCACCCCGTCCCGACGCGCGCCCCCGCCCGCTGCCCTTCCCCCGCCATCCAGCCCCGGGTGGCTGCCAAGTGGGGGGTTCGGGGTAGCGGAACTCCCGGGCTGGGCGCAGGAAACCCGGGTGGGGAGATGCGGTCCCAGATTCGGGGCACGTGCACACGGGGGAAGACGCTGTTGGAAAGACAGCCGAGAGGTTTCTCTCCTCTCCTCCCGGCTCCTACGGCCCCCTCCCATCTTCGAACAGCCGCCTTCCCGCACGAGCCACGACAAAGGTAAGGGAGAAAGAGAAACTACCTCGCAGCCACCTTCACTCCAGCCCAGCCCCACGGTCCTGGCCCGGCGGGCTCGTGCGTTGCTTTATTTTCTTTTTTCTGACTGGCTGGAGCAGCCCCGATCTGCCCGGATACTCGGAGGGCCTGCTCTGTCATTGGTCGTTGCTGCCACCCGGAGACAGAAGGCGCCGGGCTCGCCCGGGCGGCAGCTAAGGTCTGCCTGGTAACAGACTCTGATTGGTCAACAGGGGAGGGAAAATCCAAAATTGGTCTTATTTGAGTCAAGAGGGGGAAGTCCGGGTTAGGTTTCGGTTAAAACTGGGGTCGGTTGGGACTGCAGGTCCCAAGAGGTTCTTCTCTTAAAGGGACCGCGGGACAAAAGTCCGGGCGCTTGCCCCCCGCCCCCCACCCGCCGACTTCCTTTTCTTTTGCTCTCTCCTTCCGTGTTTCAGTTTTGCCTCCGTTCGTCAGAGCTACTGGAAGAAAAGAACCAATGGATGATAAAAAAAATAACTAGAAAATTATGGGTAGTAGTGATGGAAATTCACTGTAAGCTCACATAACCCCCTTTTGATAAAAAATAAATCGAACCATTTATTTCTCCCTCCAGCCCCCATAGGTCTACAGGCACTCACAACAAACCTGCCAGCAGGCTCACTGTCTTCGTGGATGGAGGCCTGGAAACCGCAGCAGCTGTACTAAATGAGCTGAATTGCAAGCCAAAATGCTCTAGTGTTCCTTGGTTCCCTGTATGTACTTTATTTCCTTACTAAGAGTGGCCACTGCATTTGCAGCCCGGTAGTTCTGCGCTGGGGAACACTGGAATTGTGGCTGACTCCCCAAGGGCCGTGCTAGACGCCCACCCGGACTCTTCACTCTCAGAGAACTGTGTACGGAATGGGTCATGGGTTCTTAACCCTCTCAGTTAGTTAGGCTTTTTAGGCCGTGACTCACATGGAAGCCATGAACTGTGAAAACTAGTAAAGGAAATTTCAATTACAAATGGAGACGGGAATGTCTCTAGAGGGGGCTCTCATGCCCTGAACAAGAAGAGATGACCTTGCACCTCTAACAGGAAGTGCCTCTACTTCACTCCCGCATAAGGGGAAGGAAGATTTTCTTCTCGCCCAGCAACAAGCCCAGCCAAGGGAAAAAGTGCTGTTCAGCCAATGAACAGCCATTGTCACCCTGAACTCTTACTTTCCTCCAATGAACTTGCACTTTACTTTTCTAATGATGTCTTTGACCCACCTCCTTCCTTAGAAAAGACTTCCATTTAAAAAAATTATTTTTTCAATTATTTAGCCTCTGTGTATTTGTGTTTTTCAATTTTTTTTTTTGGTAGTGGGTTTCTAGTTTCATACTGTTGTGGTCAGAAAAGATTCTTGATATGCTTTCAATCTTCTTAAATTTATTGAGACTTGTTTTGTGGCCTAACATGTGGTCTATCCTGGAAAATGTTTCACATGCACTTGAAAAGCATATATATTGTGCTGCTTTGGGGTGAAATGCTCTGAAAATACAAATTAAACCCATCTTGTCTAATGTGTCATTTAAGGCCACTGTTTCCTTTTAATTTTCTGTCTGGAAGATCTATCCATTGTTGTCATTGGGTTGTTAAAGTCCCCTGCTATGATGGTATTACTGTTGATCCCACCCTTTATGCCCATCAATATTTGCTTTATATATTTAGGTGCTCCTGTGGTGGGTGCATAAATGTTTATAGGAGTTATATCCTTTTTAAAAAAACATATTTTGATTGATTTTAGAGAGGAAGAGAGAGAGAAATATTAATGATGAGAGAGAATCACCGATTGGCTGCCTTCTGCATGCCCTACACTGGGGACTGAGCCCACAACCCTGGCATATGCCCTGACTGGGAATCAAACTGTGACCTCCCAATCCACAGGTCAACGCTCCACCACTGAACCACGTCGACTGGGCTCTTTTTCCATCTCTTAACCTTGAGTCTGTGTGTGTCTTTTGATCTGAAGTGGGTCTTTTGTAGACAGCATATATATGCGTCTTCTTTTGAAGAAGGCGAACTTGTTAAATTTAAAAGGTCAATATTGTAGGCACGAGCAGCCATGCACTGCCCTCTGTTGGCCAGGTAAGACATGGCATATGTGTTATGGGGTTTGTGGATCTTTCAACAATAAAAGCCCACACCAGACGGAGACCTCTTCCCAGGCTTGCCATTAGACCAGAATAAATTCTGTCAGAGTCAGTGTTTTGGGGGTGCCTTTCAGTAGAAGTCATTGCCCTGTCATTTAACACTAGAAAAACATAGGCTTCATCCCAAGTTCGGTAGTTCAGAGAGTGAGTATTGAGCTCCTGAATCCAGCCTTGGGTTCTAGGACAGTCCTTGTCTGAGGAGAGGCCTGGTCAGGGAACACTGGGGTGCACTCCTCTCCATAGCTACCCAGGGTGGAGGAGTCTCGGCCCCTTTTATGCTGAACTCACGCTTACACAATTCTGAATCTCACCCTCACTGGATACTTGGGAAACTGAGGCCCATAGAGATCCAGGGACTAGCCAGGGTACATAACAGGCACAGTCCAGAGGTCAGGAGTGTTCCGAACTCCTAAGCAAGGGTTTTAATCTCTCCCATAATGTTGGTTTGGAAATTAGAAATCCTAACATATTGGGAAGCTCTTGCCTATTTCTGCCTATGTGGGGGCTATATTTTTCTGGGATCCAGTAAATGAGTACTGGCGTGCGCATGCACACACACACACATTCATTCTCTCTCTCTCTCTCTCTCTCTCTCTCTCTCTCTCTCTCAATGTATCGACTATGGGAGGGATACTAAGAGGAGCATACACAGAGGAGGTGACAACAGAAAGAAAATACAGATTGGAGGCACTTCCTATACATGACAGCACTCCTCCAACTTTATACATATCTTTCCACATGTGCCTGAACATTATTTCTAAGAAGTACATGCTGGAATAATATCATTGTGCAGGCAGGAGACAGACAGGCCCTGACAGTCACAATGGCTCATCCAGGATCAAGAAGAAGGGGACTCAGGGAAGGGGATCACAGGAAGTGAGGTCACTTCCCTAAAGAACTTAGAACCCCCCGTAACCAGGCAGCCACATTCTAGCGACAGCCCAACAGCCAGTTCACTTGGCAAGAGACACTTGAGAGTTGAAGATGTCCTCTTGCTGGATCTCTAGTTATCGGGGCTCTTGCTCCCGGAGACCCCACAGTGGGAGTTTTTCCAAATTCTGGAGACGTTGGTTCAACCCTCATCCCCAGCGTCTCTGGCCATTCTCCAGGAGATCCCCTCAGGTAACACAGGCAGCCTCAGTCAGCCCAGTTCAGGCCGGGCCACCTCTGGGAGCCATCCCTGGGCAGCCCCCATCCCCTCCTCTCCATGTGGGGGAAGGGGAACCTGAAGGGAGGACCCCTGGGCAGGTTGCAGGGCGGGGCATATCCTAGTGATGCTGTCATGACCACAGCCAGCACGGAGAGGGGCTTTCCAAGGGGCCTTTCATCTGTGCCAATGAGAATCCTAGGCCCTCAGCCTGTCACGTCTTTTCTGTCCTTCGTGGAGGTCTGAGTAAAATGTGGTGTATGTGTCTGGAGTGGAAAGAACCACAGGGTCTGCGAAGCACAGGCCGGGCTCTGAGGCTTTCCGCCTGGTGGCTGGGCACTGTCTCTACAGAGCTCCCCACAGGAGGTCAGACAGGAGGTCAGACAGGAGCCGACTGATGGGGTTCTCAACGCCATCCCCCAGCAGGGGGCACAGGGGGCCCACGCTGCCCAAAGAGTGCCGCTCGGTCTCAAGGTGAGTGCAGAGGCCCAGGTGGCCCGACCTCCAGGACCCCAGGAGTCAAAGGGGCCCGGGTCCCAGAAGCCACCCTGCTACTCCCCGGAGCCCCTTCCTAGAGTCCTGCTCCCAAAGGAACCTGGGTTTCCATCTTCTCCCCCAACCCACCCTCACTGTCCAGCCCCTTCCTGCCAGGAGCAAAGTCACTGTCTGCATATTTGTAGGAATATCAGGAAGGAGGCTTTTGTATCATTTCACCTCACGTTCAGTCAAGAGTATTTCTGCATTTTTCTACAGATTTTCTTGTTTAACACCCATCCCCAAGTGTCCATGTTGGCCTGACAATCCTTACACCCTCTCCCAGTTTTACTCATCATCATGCTTGGGGGATGCTTGTCCCCAGAAAAGACACGGGGCTCATGGTACCATATCTGTTGCTTTGCAATTTTCTGCCCCGGAGGAATGCATCCCTGTGGTTCCTCCAGGTCAGGAGCTGGGGTCTCCCAAGGCTGTATGTCATACCCTGAGGGGGACCGGTTACCATGGCGATCCAGCCCTTCACTGCTGTGGGACCTGGAGTGATCTCTTTCTGTTGCCATGTCAACAATGCTGCCCTGAACATCTCACATGTCCTAATATCCTGACCCCTCCCACCCCATGAAAAGCCTCTGTGTTCTCATCTTAGCATGGGATGCTCTGTCAGAAATCCCAGGGATGACACTGTTAACACAGGGACGTGCTGTCCATCCTCAGCCAGCAAAATATGACCTAGGTTACTAATGTGTTTCATCATTCCCCTCCTCCAATTCTGCTTTTCATGCCAAGAACCTTTTCTCTCCTGCGAGCACTCATGTCCCCCCTTGCCACCAGTCACTGAGGGCTTGTGGGTTAGGTCTGAGCTGCAGCTGCCAATCCACCTGGTGGTCCGTGATGCTGTTTTGACTGCATGTCCCTCCTCTGTCCCATCCCAGGGGCAAACCGCATCAACCGGGAACACAAATAAGCTCTGTAAGGTGCAGACCGCCCGGGCACACCGGCTGGACAAGCTGGTGGAGCACCTGGTGCCTGCCTTCCTGGGCAGGGACCCCACCTTCGTCCCCACCTTTCTCTGGAACTACAGAACTTTCGCCACCACCCAACAGGTGTTGGACCTACTATTGACAAGGTGAGCACCTGCCCCTCCACAGCACAGTGGTCATCCGGGCACTTGCTAGCTGTGAGTCTTCAGAAGGTCACTGCATCTCCCTGAGTCTGTGTGCTCCTCTGAACTGCGGGGTAAACCCAGGAGCAAACTCATAGGATTTTTATAGAAACCTGGTGGGGTCCTCCCTGTAACGTGCTCTCTGGGTGCCTGGCCATTGGAGAGGTCTGCTGGAGGGGCAGTGGTTGTGCTAATTGGTCATTTTCTCTTCCTCATGACGAAGCCTCTGTCTCATCCCTCACTTTCCTCGGGGCCTTGGGCTGAGCTGTTTTCTTATTTGAAAAGGAGATTGGAGATTTCCTTAGGGTTCTCTGTCCTGGGTGAAGCCAGAGCAGGAATCCCAGGGGTGAGCAGCGGGCTAACTGAGATACCTGTGATGGGGCTCGTTCATTCAGCAAATATATCGGCAGGTGCAGGCATGTTCTAGGCACTGACCATAACCCAGTGCACAGCGCAGACCCCAGCCCTGCTTTCCAGAGCTTCTTTGTAGTCGGGAGTGAGACAGTCACACTAGACTTCACAGGCAGGTGGTGTCCACAGGGCAGTCGATGTGACGTCCTCCTGGCCTCCTCTAGGTATGGCTGCATCTTCCCGTATGCTGAAGAGGATGGTGGGCCTGTGGACCAGCAGAAAAAGTGAGTGGGCTTTGGATCAGAGCCATGAGGGGAGTATAGGGACTAAGAATTGGAGGTGCTGGCAGAACCCTGCATCCCACACATCATGGGATTTCTGCAAGAGGGCCCAGGTCTGAGGACTTTACCTAGAAAAAAGGGAAGGAGTCATAGAGAGCTTTGGATGTGGATTGGGTGGTGGGAGAGCATTGGGAGGTTAGTGGACAGAGTCAGCCCCTCAGAAAATCCATCCCCATCCCCTCCCCACCCAGCCCTGCATCCACTCCCCCACCCTGGGACCTGGAACAGGGGATGTGGGGGGCACCCTGCTCACTAATCTGATAGAACCTCCACAGTGGGTGCTTGGCTGGTGCTCCCTGCCTGTGGGAGTTGAATGTCAGTAGGAGGAGAAGAGCCACACAGGGCACCTAGTGAATCAGTAGCACGTTGGTGCAGGAGCTAAAGTTTAAGGTGTTAGGGCTGGAGAAAGAGTCCATTTATTTGCTCATCAGTCAGATATTCCTGGAGCACCTACAGTGTGCCAATGAGTGCAATGAACAAAGCAGACACCACCCCTCCTGCCCTCATGGAGTTGACCTTCCAGGAGGAAGGGGGCAGAGACACTGACAGAGTGAGCCGGTCTTCTCTGAAGATGGGGACAGATGGTCACACTGTTACTGGACAGGGACCAGCCTGGAGCAGGTCTGCCTCAGGCCGGCCTGTAGTGTGTGGGTTCTTGACTTTGTGTAGGAAAGATTTCACAACACAAGCCCTAGCCAGTTTGGCTCAGTGGGTAGCGTGTCAGCCTGCGGGCTGAAGGGTCCTGGGTTTGATTCCAGTCAAGGGCACATGTTACAGGCTCCATCCCCTGTGGGGGCGTGCAGGAGGCAGCTGATCAATGATTCTCTCTCACCATTGATGTTTTCTCTCTCTCTCTTCCTCTCTGAAATTAATAAAAATATATTTTAAAAAAGAAGGGGGGGGGGGCCTTGGAGACAGGAACCAGAGCCTGGGTGGAGCTACTGCTGCCTACTGCTCCCCTGGTTGCAAGTCCTGTCGGGACCCTAGAGCTTAGGAAGAAATAAAAAGTTCATGCCCGGGAAGTGGCATGGGCGTGAGCCTTTGTCCTGAGGGCTTTCATTCTTTCTTTTTATCTTTTTTTTAAAAATATTTTTTTTTTACTTCAGAAAGGAAGGGGAAGAGAGGGAGAGAGACATAGAAACATCAATGATGATAGAGAATCATTGAGCGGCTGCGTCATGCACGCCCCCCCCCCCCCTGGGGACCAAGCCCGCAACCCAGGCATGTGCCTTTGCCTGGAATCGAACCCGAGACCCTTCAGTCCCCAGGCCACCAGGGCTGTCCTGAGGGCTTTCTATCCCTTTTTGTTTCTGCAGGCAAGAATCTTAGGGGAGGGTTTCAACAGAGTATTCATTAGCTTTCCAGGTGTATTTTTTTTTTAATATGCTGATGCATTAAAATGAGTGTATAGGGGAGTTTTGGGTTCTTCTTTGGCCTGTTTTACTGTTATCTTAGGTCTGTCTGTCTTTAATGGTTTTTATTATTATTATTTGTTCCCCAACTTCATCTGCCCTTGGAGTTAGCTGGCAGAAATGGCATTAACTAGGTCTTTGTTCTGTTTTCCCAGGCCAGGGTGATTTAAGCTAGGGAGGAGAGGTACAAACCATTTGCTCTCAAGTGTCCTTGGTTGAGGAAGATAAGGTCTTGCGATGAATTTTCTTGTCTCAGTTTCCCCATTGCACTTACCCAGGGATTTTCCTAGCTTCTTACTATGCTGCCACAACACCATTGGTTAAGAGCTCTCCGTCACTAATATAAAATAATGTTGGATGTCACCCGTAATTGAAAAATAAATTTAAAAAAAGAAGTCTACTTAATTACTCAAGAAAGCATCCACACTATATTGAGTCTCAGGTTATTGTCAGTTTATGGAAAGGAATATACATAATTATCCATATTTTGTCAGAAAAAAATAGAGACTAGAGGAAAATACATGTAAATATTAACAATGATTATTTCTGGGGAGTGATATTGTGGGTGATTGCAACTTTCTCCTTTATAATTTTCCACATTCTAAAATATCTACAGTGAACATTGATTACTTTTCTAAAATAAAAAAACCTGATAAATA